ATAGATTGAATATACACAATTCACACAATATTCTTCAATGTTTAGCTACTAAAGGGCTAAACTAAAAAGGCAGCTAAAAAGTATGTTAAATGATAAAAATAAAGAATATTTTCAATCATTAAAAACAGTTAAAATACAAGAGCTGGATGAAATATAACATTATACCATATGCAAATACAGTGTGTAAACTAGGAGGTTCAAATTCTGTCAGGGGAGGAGTCACATCAGGTTGAGTGTTTTTAGCAGAGGTTTTATTAGATCAGACACTGAACCACTGAAGAGAATGTTTCACATGTTTGTTTTGTTCTGTTTGTGCTGGTGGAGTCTGATCGGTAAGTTATAAAAACATTTTTATGGTTTAATTTTTTTCTGAGCTACTGCTGTTGTTAAGAATTAGGCTATTTCCATCTGCTACTGACTGTACCAAATAAATTATTACTATGAGATCTACTTACACTGAATTCAGGTCTTTTTTTTTGGAATTTAACACTGGGCTGGAAAGTGCAAAAATAAAATGCTAAAAAAAAAAACAATGAAAATCTCCAGAGCGAATGTAGATGTTTGTGCTCTGCATGGCGACTCAAAAAGCCAAAATCTTCCACTGAGTTGCTTTGAAATATCTGGCCTTTTTTTTTTTTTTTACATTTAAAATGGATTTCTAAAGAATTCCATGTTTTAAAATTTTTAAATACTTCTGCAGTCATCATAAATATCTACAAACGTCATGGAAAGTCATTAGTCTAAATGCGCAGGGGCCCTCAGAACATGAGAGACAGTAATAAAACAGTGAGTTTGTTTTATACTGATCCAAGTGACTCATTTACTAAGTATTGAAATATTCAGCACAGCTAAACTATGTAACTTTACACAATGATTTTGCGCCACAGCAGATAACTTCAAAACAAATTACAGTATATATCCCTGTTCATTTTGTGTCTCTGATGCTGTTGTGAATATTCTTCAGTTCACATTTCAACTGATTAAATCTATAGATGATTTCAGGATTTGTAAACCAACTGGAGCATTAATCTGTGACAAATTCTCTTCATGTTCATCAGGTGTGTTTGGTGCAGAAACAAATGAAATACAGTCAGTGTCAGCGATGGAGAGAGATTCGGTCACTTTAAAAACTAATGTTACTGAATTACATGAAGACGATGAAATAGCATGGAGATATGGAGCTGAAAAGTCTCTCATAGTTAAAATCAGCAATGAGAAACAAATCGTCTCAACATTTGATGTTCCTGATGAGAGATTCAGAGACAGACTGAAGCTGGATCATCAAACTGGATCTCTGACAATCACAAACATCACATCTGAACACGCTGGAGACTGTGAACAACAGATAAGGGGAGCGAGACTGTCATCAAAAACATTCAGTGTTTATGTCTACGGTGAGTAGAGATCATTTGTCCTGCCATTCACATATTCTTGTTTCATAGTTTGAAGTGACAGATAATATAAAAACTCACTCAACACCATGAAAAAGAAAATGTTTAGATTTGTCCATATTTCTGTTTATTCTCTCATGTTTTTAGCTCATCTGCCTGTACCTGTCATTAGAAGCGACTGTTCTTCATCATCATCACAGCAGAATTGTTCATTGGTGTGTTCAGTGGTGAATGTGGGTCATGTGACTCTCTCCTGGTACAAAGGAAACAGTTTATTGTCCAGCATCAGTGTGTCTGATCTCAGCATCAGTCTCTCTCTACCTCTGGAGGTGGAATATCAGGATAAAAACAGCTACAGCTGTGTGCTCAACAATCCCATCAGCAACCAGACCACACATCTGGACATCACTCAACTCTGTCACACATGTTCAGGTACAGCAGCGCTGACATATATGTTTATTTAATGAGCTGATTTCTCTTTTGTTGTAGATCAAACTGCACATTCACACACATTAATGATTATCATTACAGGCTCTGTATCTCTGATAGTTCTGATCTGTTCGGCTGGATCTCTGTTGATTGTAGCTGCAGTCGTGATATTCTGGAGGAAACACAGAAAAACTAATCAAGAAGGCAAGTGTTAGCTAAATGACATAGCTTTTTAGTTGCAAAATATTGTTTCTAAAAGTCAGTCGTAGAGCAGCGCTGACAATTTTCTGTACGCGTGTATGTTTCCATCTGTGAGTGAATGTGTATTCGTACAGTATGTGTGAGAGAGATTTCCATAGGGAATTAAACAAAATTTATTAGGAAAAACATGAATAAATCATATTTAAGATTAATGATAAAGAGATACTGTGTTGAAGATGTCTTGTGTGTTTGTGTGCGTGTGTTAAACAGTTTTAGGCAGGGTAGGTGGTTTGGTTCAAAAATTTATTTTAATGCTGGTTGAAAGTCTTCCCATCCTGCAGCAATCACTACGTTAAGTGGTCTGAATGTATTTATTTAAATTTATATTGTCTGTGGAAGGCGTATAAATCATAAAATGTTCGTCCAGTCATATTCCTAGGTTTGAAAATTGCGATAGGCTGTCCTACCTGCCTGTCAATTTATGTATTTGCATACCTCCGGGCACCCTGTTTGCACTATTGCAGACCGAACTAAAGTTGAAGGTGATATTATTGTAATTTGACATGCTTTGTACTGTAATGTTTTCTCACCGGTGAATCAGGCATGAGGTAATTTGACAGTGTTGCATCGTGACGCTAATTAGCCTCTGCTCTGCCTGCGCGCATTCACGTGTTTTGGAGGAGGCGTGGCTTTGGAGAGTGATTATGCAGGGAGGATGGGATCTTATGCTTGCTAGCCTCTCTGAAATCGCCTACCCTACCTTTAAAATTAAGCTTGTTAAATGCTGTCAAAAATAATTCAGCATTAAATATTTAATTGCAAACATTAACGCTTTAACTTTGACAGCCTTAATAATAGAATGTTGCAAAGAAACAGATCTAGATAAGATTGTGTTTTGTTGTTTTAATGCATCTATTATTGTTATTGTCAAAACAGTTCAGACTCGTACAGAAGAGATCACTTACATTGATCCGATATTCCACAAAAGAAACGCACAGAAATCGGTAAGACAAATTATTCCTAATTCATGTTACTCTGTCTACTAAACTCTAAAAAAATGCAGCATCTTTAAATCTCCTATTAACAATACAGACTTCAACTTTCAGTAAGTTAAAAAAAAATTACATACACTCAAGAAATAGTTTGTTCAAGGAACTTAATTTATATTATTTAAAATGATTAAGCTCTGTTTTACAAATTTAAGTGGACTGAAACTTGTGTTTGTTTATGTCAGTAGAAACTCACCGGTAAAACATCTGAAAACAAAATCACATATCAAATCAGATTTTAGTGTCCAATTTGGCATTAATTCAATACATCACATGTTATGTCACAACCAAAGGAATCTGTATTTCTAAGAGAGTCACACTTCTCTTTGTTTATAAGTATCATCAACTCTTGCGTGATGTTTTTTTTTTTTTTCCAGCATGTTAAAGAAGAAGATCATGTGGAGTATGTACCTGTTGCCACGAGAAGATGATCTTCAGTCTTCAGTGTTTTTCTATCAGATCTGTGTCACTGCTTTTATCTCCTGCAACAACCTCAAACTCTGAGTCTTGATGAGTTTAGGGATTGGTGAGAATCTCCACGTGTGATACTTAAAGACTGATTATTGAAATGATCACCTAAAAATAATTTGCCTTTGTCTTGTTTATGTACATCTGCACAGAATGCTGGTTTGATCTGTTAGGTGGAAAAACAACTTGTGCATGAGAATGTGTCTGCTGCTGGATGACTGTGTTTGATGTCTGCTTTTGTGTGTCTGTGTGAAAGAATGTTTCCATTCTTGTTCATATGAAACCATTTGACTTCTGCTATAGACAAAACAGTTTTCCTACATAATACTAAATCTGACAGATTAAAGATTCACTCAAATCAAATAGCAGTATTACTGTGAGATCTTATGTGCCTGTGAAATATTAGGGTTTATATTTAAGGGCACATGTATGTATATATATATATATATATATATATATATCCATGACCCCACATACTGTGACCCTGCAGAAAAGCAGTTGTGGTATCAGGAGTTATTTCCAGCTCTAGCAAGAGTTAGAAAACGTTTTTTAAAAAGGAACTGTACTTAATTTCAGATCTTTTTTTTTTTTTTAGAAACAGGGCTCCAGACATAGCCTACTTATTCTGTCTTTTTGCAAAACATTCTGTTGCAGCTCAATACCATTAAGAACAATCATCAGACTAAAGAATTAGAATCTGTGTGACAGCAGTGTAACATACAGTACTTACTGTTGTCTGTGTTGTAAATATGGATCAAAAAACTAAAGAAAACAGAAAATCACTCACTGCTTTTGACTGGATAACTTTAGTAGCTTATTAAGAATTAATTTCATGCTTATAGGCTGATTTTGAATGATCTAGCGAGGAGATTAACATGGTGGACTGTGTACTGCTCACTCTGAGCTAATAAGGCAGAGATCGTTACCAGTCATGGGCGGAGCCTATTCAAAGTGACATCACCTTGGAATACATTCCTGAATGGCTCATTTTGAGATTGTTTCTGATCTATCGGAGTGGATGGATTTTTATCACAATAGGGTGACACTGCGGACACAACATTATGTTCAAAAGCAATGCAAAAGTGAGTTTTTCATAATAGGTCCCCTTTTAAAGTTCATTCAACTAGAAAAAGCAGAAATTTAGAAAATATAGAAATTTATTTAAAATAAAACATACAACAAAATCAGAACGGTATCAAATCACAAAATCAGTGTCAATATTATAAAACATACACTGCAACATTACAAATCAACCATATGCTATCTGGAGCATTAGTATAGGCCTAACTATTGGGAAGTCCATTTTACACGGAAATATTTGTAACATTTTCTGGGTTATATATATATATATATTTGTACACATGACTAATAGAATTAAAGTTACGCCTTCTTTCTTTGCGTTAACATTTGGGCGGCGTTATGCAAATTTTTCCACATAGTGATGTAGATATGTGGGGGCGTGTTAGAACGAGGCATTTTAGGTAGGCGTGGTTGACTCTTAACTTTTATAAAGAATATCTCTTTGGATTTGAGACTTTAGTCTTTGCAACTTTACAGATCTTCTTTATGCACCAAGAGCTTGTAACACTCCAAAGAGAAAGGAAAACTTGAAATCGCATCATATGACCCCTTTAACATACTATGTTCATTTAAACACTTTTTTTGGAGATGTGTAATATTTAATTTAAAAAAATCAATCATTCCCACAAAAATATTAATTGTATTTAAATTCTCATCACAGATTTTATTTGCACACGATCTTGTGCATTCAGCTAATTGTCCCCTTGGAATTATAAGGTTTTAACTGCATTCCGAGACTTTTTGAGATATTGTGCTTCAAAGTTTTTAATTCCATTCGACTGTGTAGATAGAACATTTTAGTTTTTTAAATAAAAAGTCCCAAAATGTACACATCATTAAAATAAATCTATCACATAATGTAAATAAGTTGTCACAGAATAAGAATATGTGAATAACTTAATTTTGACAAAAATGTCAGATAGAACCTTATAATTCCAAGGGGACGTAATATATTACACAGCTAATGACTAATCAATCAAAACAGAAAAAATTGTTTTGTTTTTTTTTGGAAAGAAGCAACTTTGCTACCTCAATATGCTTCCTCAGATTTGATGGTAAACTTTTGTAGCCAGACATTTACCTGATGAAACAAGTCATAACTGAAGTAGAAATGTGTGTGCTTGATGCATTAAAACAATGATCATTGGTTCTCACATCAAGAGTGCACGTTTGAGTGTCCATTTACCATATTTAATGTGCATAACATAAAATAAAAATGTAATGTACTTTTCAAGATGAAATAAAATTGTAAGGAGTAAAAAGTACTGATTTTTTTCTTCAGAAATGTAATCAAGTATAATAAGTTTAAATTGTACTTGAATAAAGTACAAATACTCAAAAATAATACTTAAGTACAGTAATCAAGTACAATTACTCAACTATTTTATACCCAAATAAAGCCAAAATGGAAAAACCATGTGTGACAAAGTTAGGACACCCTTACTGGTAACATAGGACTTAAGCTAATTAAAAATGCCTTTGATTAACTGATCATCAGCAAGTGTGAGCACCTCTGTAAAAGCAGATGTTTTGGCAGTTTGCTGGTCTGGAGTCTTCAGGTGTGTGTTAACACAATGCCAAGGAAGTAAGACATCAGCAATAATCTTAGAGAAGCAATTGTTGCTGCCATCAATCTGAGAAGAGTACTGTGGCCATTTTCAAACAATTTGAAGTCCATCATTCTGCAGCGAGGTAGATTATTCACAAGTGGAAGACATTCAAAACGGACACCAATCCTCCCAGGAGTGGATGTCCAAGCAAATTCACCCCAACATCAGACCATGTAACGCTCAGAAGAATGGCAGACAACCCAAGAACTTCACTGCAGACTCGACAGGCCTCAGTTAACATGTTAAATGATAAAGTTCATGACAGAAAAATATGGGACAAGTATGGCATGTTTGGATGGCTTGCCAGAGGAAAGCCTCTTCTATCTGAAAAAAAAGCATGGCAGCACGGTTTAGGTTTGCAAAGTTGCATCTGAACAATCCATACGAATTCTAGAACAATGTCCTTTGAACAGACAAGACCAGAGTGGAGATGTTTGGCAATAATGCACAGTGCCATGTTTGGTGAAAACCTAAAGAACACATCAGCACAAACACCTCATAGCAAAAGTCACACATGATGGTGGAGGGCTGATGATTTTGGGCTTGTTTTGTAGCCACAGGACCTGGGCACCTCACAGTCATTGAATCGACCATG